TGCCACCAAGCGGCAAGCCAATGGCAACATGCCGCTGCACATAAATTCGACAGAGCGGCCCCCATCTACAAGTAGATGCCTGATGCGGGGCAGGCATGGGGCGAGGGTGCATCTTTTTATTCCACTCCACAGTGCGGCATGGCATCCTCTTTCTCCTACTCCTCCTCCTCCTCCTCCTCCTCCTCATCGTCATCAACACCATGGCCACATGTTGAAGCTGCTACCCTAGCCAGCGTGTCGCACATACTTGAGATTGCATTAGTCAGTTTTGCGCCCCCAAAAATCTGAAAAAGAAATACACACACACACACACATAGAACACTTGAGGGGGGAGCATGATCAATGCCGCCACGTCTGCCCGTTCACAACCCATTGCATTAATAATCCATAACGTGGGGATGCAGAGCTAGAGATGAGAGCGTGAGTTCTTCTGTTAGATGGTGGAATAAATATAAATAAATAAATAAATAAATATACATAAATAAAAATAAATAATATTATATATAAATATATAATAAATATTCATATTTATTGTTATTAATTAATTATTATTAATATTTATACAGTTTAGTTGTACCTTTGTGTGTGTTGTGTTTTCCCCATTTATTTCCACGAATAATTTAAATTTAAATTTAAAAGTGCATTTAGTGCATCTCTAGTTGCCACCCACCGAAAGGCATTTAAACGCTTCGCCTAATGTCGATAAATCACGAAGGCGAGCAGCGGCAGGACAGGACGGACACCGCCACTTCAACTTGGAGGCTCCTTCGATGCGAGTGAAATATTATCGCTGCTAATGCTGCTGTTAATGAAACAACGTAATTATGTATTAGGAGGGGACGCACCCTACTTAGGGAAACTGCGGAGTCCGGACCTGGGTGCGGGTACGGGTACGGGTCGCAGCGCACATTAATTATCCGCCGAAGCAAAGTGGTGGTGGAGAGAGCGGCAAGGCAAAGTGAAAGTGCGGTAAAAAATGAAACATAAATATGTGTATTCGTAGACAGGGGAATGGGGGGTAAGGTAAGTGATGTTCCTGTGACATTATGTATTAAAAGGATTTTGTGTGTGTTTTACATGCGACCACAACAAGCAAGCAGTTCAAAGCAGTCGCGCGACGCACCCTCGAGCACAGGAAGAGAGAAACAACACGGAGGTCGAAGTATTCAAAGTTCTGGATTGGAAATGCCTATAGCATAGCTCTGATCAAAGTCCCATTACCCTTTGGCTAGAGTATGAAAACGAAGACGGAGACGTTTATCGAATCATTCGCAAATTAAGCAGAACAGTTAGTCGAAAACAGCAGCAGGCGCTCGCCACGCCCTCGCACTGCTTGAACTCATCTGAACCCAAGCGAAACACCCGACAAGTGGAGGAAGGCCTGTCCGCCCGGCTGCCTGCTCCCGCGGCGTTTGTCATGCGCTTAGATAACATTGTCATTAATCGTTCGTAATTAATTATCGGCCCTGCTCTCTGGTTCGGCGGGGCTTTATTTTAAAGTAGTTATTATTATAACGAACTGTCAACACCTGCTTATAAAGCGTAGTCAATGGGCGGAGAGGGGCCTGTACGAGTCACTGTCTCTCTCTCTCTCCCTCTCGCTCGCTCTCTCTGTCTCTGTTTGATCTGGGTGGTCGATTGCTTTGACTGACGGTGGCCTGCCTCGAAACCCGTTTGTTTTGGTAGCGCCCAGTCCCAGTCCCAGCCCCAGCCCCAGCCGCAGTCTCCGACTCTGTCCCCCCCGGCCACGACCCGCCGGGCTGCTCTGGGGGCATGTGTAAATGTATGTTAATTTGCCGATCGTTAAATACGAAAATTTGTTGATTTTATTGTCAGTTGGTTTTCCTTCGATTTGGTTTCGTTGGGTCTTTTGTCTTTTGCATCTTTAATTGGTTAACCATATGGCTGCGATCTGATTCGGCTTATGCATGCCACTAACTTTAGTTTCTGTGCATCGTGTGGAGCTGTTAAATTAGTGTTTATGGTTAGGACATTAAGGCTTAATTGTTCTTTATCAGAACCTGTAGCAATACCGGGGATAATCAGAGGGAAAATATATTTTTTACATTTATTTATGCTCAAAGTTGAAGCGGAAGGTCGGGCGCCCACGTTTTCAGAGCTAAGAGAGCTATGAAGGGGAAAGAAGTGCGGTTAAGAGTAATCTCTGACCCATTCGTATCCATAAAGAGTTTTGTTCAAGCTCTAAACCTTGAGCTACGTTTTCCTAGCACACTTTTGACAGCAATGCCCCAATACAAAGTTGCAACAAGCCTTAAACTTGGCCTACACTATGCAGCAGTACCATCCCTACACCCACCACCAGCAGCAGCAGCAGCAGCAACCCCCGTGGAAGAACATTGGCACAATTGGAATTTAATGGAGTCAATTTGGTGTTTGGTGTGCATAAACTGGCCCATCGCATTGGTGTGAGTTCTGCTGAATGCAAACAGTCCAGAGCCACAATGAAATCGGAGAGCAGCTCCTGTTGCTGCCACTGCCACTGGCACAGCTCCTGCTCCTGTTCCAAGCTAACAATGCAGATCAAGAGATGAGCGCGTCCATTTCGGTCGCTGGATCGGCCATTGTTCCATTTGGCATGTTGTTTTAGGAGTTCACTAAAAAGACAAATGTGCTGCAGGGGAAGTCAGGGAGGGAGGGAGGGGGGTAGCTGCTGAGCTGCTGATGGGGGTATGGAATATCCAGGGTGAAGTGCTGCAACTTTGGTTAGTGAGCGAGCCAGCGCGTGTTAGTTCCACTCGTTAAGGATTTACGAGCAATTTTTATCACTTTGAGGATCGCTGACAAATCCGGCAACAACAACAACAACAACCAGAGCCAGAGCCACAGACAGAGTCAGAGTCAGACTCACAGTCACAGAGCCAGTCCAGAGTCTGTCTATAGCCAAAGCCAAAGCCATAGCTCCGGCCCAAGAGCAACAATGCAATGCAATGCAACATGCGCATAATAATGGCAAGTTGTCCAAGAGGAGCACATCCTACGTTCGGCTAGGGGGACAGGAAGCGCGCTCGCTTGTCTCATCGTTGTCGCTGATGTGGCCAAAAGTGGCCAATAAAACCCAAGCGACGATGTCAGCCACAGCCACAGTAGCAGCATCACCAGCAGCAGCAGCACCAGCATCACCAACGATGACGACGAATTATAGCAAAGTAATCGCACTGGACTGGCCAGCAGTGAGAGGTTTTGTCCATTTTTCGATGTACTCTCACAGAGGGCTTAATGATTTCGATTAGGTGTTGGCAATGCAAAAAAAGCCTTAATAATATCCCATCTAATATATATTCTTAGCTGCCTCGATCTCCCATTTAATTATTATATAAATAAACACATTTTATGGATTAACAAATCTGGGCTTCGATTAAACCAGACTGCTGCCAAAGTGTATCTCACGTTTCGCACATCGATGCTTGCCTTTCCTACTTGTTTTTACTTTATTTGATTGTCTCTTTCTCTCTCTCTCTGTCTGTCTGTCTTCTCTTTTTTTTCACATTTTCCTTGCCAATATTGTTGGCTTTTGGCGTTGATTTCCCTTCCAATTTATGTGACATATTGATTTTAAATTGATGATAGTCTATTTTGCGTTGGGCAGCCAGTTCGGTCAAGCGAACGAACCAAATCGAACCAAAGGATACCAATTTATTTTAGCCATTTTAAATTGGCATTTTCACTGCGTTCCCAATGCAATGCGTAGTCGATACAAACTTGGCTTATATGACTTCATCAGCGGGCCTATTGTCAGGGCAGACGGTTTGACTGGGAACCGGCCAGCGCGATAGATGCCCTGGTGCTTTGGTGCTGGATGGTGGCTGGGTATGGGAACCTCTCTAACCCATTCATACATAGTAGGACCACATTTAAATGCAAATTTAATTCAATTAATGATGCATCAAATGCAGCCAATGCCTAATTGCCATGCGATGATCGTCGTCGGTGAATGTTCCCCGTACCGTCCTGTCCCGTCCCGTCTGCTGCGTGCTGCCTGATGCCTGTTGTCGTTGTCTGCCAACATTTTTTCTATTGCTCTCATCCTGAAGGATTCTTTGCCAGCTGCTTGCTGCGCTGGCTGGCTGGCTGGCTGGCTGGTTGGCTGTTTGTGGCTGCCTGACAATATTGATGATTTAGTAGTCTGTGCCGTTTTGTTGTCGTGCCTCTGGCACCATAGGCGTAATTAGACAAGCATTGTGCAAAAGCGTTAATTAAAAAACCACAAAAAAAAAAACAAACATACACAACAGATACTGCTGTTGCAGTTGCCATTTTTCTGCCACTGCCACTGGGTATTGACGCCAGCTGCGCCAGCGCCATGACTCCGTCTTCGCTTTCGTAATGAGCCCATGGAATCGATTGCGTAAGCTCTGCGCGAATGCATCTGCTTCATGTTGCTAGGCAGCGGGGGCTGCTGCTGCAATCAGCTAATAATTTCCTTTTTAAAGATCTCGCTGGGATGCTGCATGAATGGAGGGGAGGCTTCATGCGTATTTATGAGTCTAACGATTCCTGTTCGCTGTTCGCTGTTCGCTGTCCGCCCAGGCCCCAAGCCCAAACCCAAACCCAGTGCCAGAGTGTTGAAGTTTTTGGATTGATTTTAACGCCAAATGGTTGAACTTTAACGGGTATAAGAGGACAATGAGGGAGAGAAGCTGAGTGGAATGATATGATGTCGAAAAAGTTCTTATTGTTGTTGATGATTCTGCATAGAGATGGGCGCGTGCGTAAGCTTAAAATATCGATAGAGTCCATCGATGGTTTTGAAGGACTACAAAAAAAGAAATATCTGAAAATTCTCTAAGAATTTCATCATAAATGTATTTTGTTTAATTTTATAAATATTTTGCATATATTTCTATGCATTAATTTTTGTGCATAATTTTGTTACGATGATTCCGATGCTTAGGACGGGCCAGCCCTAGCAAAGGAGACCCTGACCCTGCCTGCGCCCATCTCTAATGCAGAATGACTGTACGAAAAGGAAAGTGGGAAAAGTAAGCTGTGAATAATTAAATTCGAGCATTGGAAAACTCTCTGCACAATCTAGTGACCTTTGAAAATTGACTCAGTCGACTCGTGTCTGTTGCGTGTCAATCAAACACAAATCTGAGCACATCTGCAGCTGTACACAGTGAAAATTCAGTCAAACGCAAACAAAACAAATAACGCAAGCAAAAAAGTGAGTAAATTTTGTACAATTTCCGACTAAATAAGAATTGAGGACTTGCAATATCCAGCAGAATGTTTGGCTGCCTCAAAATGTATAAGAATGCAAGGATGCTGCCCCGTGGACCGGCAGTCAGCGCTCTCTGGACTCGCGAGCAGAAGACCATGCCGGTGTACGATGACGTTCGTAAGAAGCCGGCCAAGCGGGGCTACTCACCGTTTGGACGGAACCAGAACTCCTGGTCGGAGTGGACGCTGGCCAGAATGGACGATCTGCTGAACTGGGGCCGCAAGGGGTCCATGTGGCCGATGACCTTTGGCCTGGCCTGCTGTGCCGTCGAAATGATGCACATTGCAGCGCCGCGCTACGACATGGACCGCTTTGGCATGGTGTTTCGCGCCTCACCCCGCCAGACGGACGTAATGATTGTGGCCGGAACGCTGACCAACAAGATGGCGCCGGCACTGCGCAAGGTGTACGACCAAATGCCCGAGCCACGTTGGGTCATCTCGATGGGGAGCTGTGCCAACGGCGGCGGCTACTATCACTACTCCTACTCTGTGGTTCGCGGCTGCGATCGCATCATCCCCGTGGATATCTACGTGCCGGGCTGCCCGCCCACGGCCGAGGCTCTACTGTACGGACTGCTGCAGTTGCAGAAGAAGGTTCGCCGCATGCGCACCCTGCAGATGTGGTACCGAAAGTGAACCAATCGACTGTAATGTAATGTTAGTGCTGAAATAAAGGCCATATTCCATATTCCACGTTCGCTTGATCTCAGCTGAGGCTGATCTTCTTGGCCGAAAAAAAAGTCAAAGAGTTAAGCGCATCAGTTCCAGAATCTCGAGATCTGCTTAGTCATAGGGCGCATAGAGGACGGCTCGTGCGTGCTCAGGGGAATGGACATGAGATCTGGAGACAATAAACACTTCTTGGCCACTCTCAAGTGTCTCTGACTGTGTGACATGATGAAATATGAAGGGTTCTTGAAGCATATGAAAGGATTTCGTTGTTCTCGTAACGCAACAATACCGAAAATCCTTTTTGGCGAATTTGCCGACACCCGAGCACTTGAACTTGATGGGAACATCATTAAATCCTCTCTCCCTCGGTCCATCTCTCGAGTGCGGTGAGTGCATTAAATTGCTGGGCTGGACACAGGACAACAAGCGCATTAGTGTAATCCATCGGGGACACACCCACAAGGCAGGCAGTGGCTGTGTGCGCGATGAATGGAAACTCTCCAAGGCATGAATGAAGGGCCACATTCATTGAGCAAAAGAAAAGGACGAGCCGAGCCGGGCCAAGGACTCTGACACTTGATGTTCGAGGGGTTGCACACAAAAGCGCAGCAGGTTGCTCGAGGATCCTCGGATCATGGGAATCCGTGTCGGAGACACAGACACACAGTCAGCGGCACAGGCACTCGTTTCTTAAGAATCAGAATTAACTTGTCTCAATCGCACAGCAATAAAAATTAATAATAAAGCCAGTGGCAACATGTTCGACTCCATTGTGAGGCATTAAATAAATTTAACAGCTCAATGACTTGTCGAAAGGTGGAGAAATCGGACTCGGACTGCAGCAGGGAGACGTAGTGGATTCAGTGAAGCGTACAGGCCCAGACATCCATATCTTAATTAGCAGGCCCGGGCTTACATTAACCTTAATTTTTGAGTGCGTATTTGCTTCTTTTGGTTTGAGCTTTTAAATTTTTAATGATTTCTGCTTAATTGCGGCGCCAAGGCGCCAGGGAAAGGAAAGCCTCGCTGTTGCCGTTGCCGTTGCAATTTCAGTCGAGTGTCCAGCGGCGCATGCTCAGGATTTGCACTTGAGTGCAAATGGTAGTGAGAGTGGGAATGGGTATGGGGATGACCACCTAGGTGGGTCCTACCTGCATCTCTCTCTCTCTGTCCACCCTCTCGATTGTAACCCCCTCGTTTAGGAACAGTGGTAAGGGGTAGGGGTAGGGGTTCTAGCCTCAATGTTCCACGGCCCATAAATTATGTCAGACAATTTCAGAAATGCCCAACGAATTGTGTGTTTAACACCTAATCGCCCGTAATGCGCTCAACCAATTGTGAGGTCCTCCAACTGACTCGCCGCCAAAATGGTCCCAACAATAAAGGGCACCACCATCCACCAGCCATAAGCCCGAAAAACAGAACAGAATCTAGTGTCGGTTCATTCATTCTTTCATTCAGCTCCGCTGCGCTCTCTTGTAGAGGCATTCTCATTCATGGCTTCATAATGAAATTGTTGGATGTCTTCTTTCGGTTCAGGTTCTCCCTCTCTCTCTGTTCGAAATCTTTTTAGCATTGTGCCCCTGGCCAAGATTTATGTTCATGAATGTAAATGCCTTCTTCAAATCTTTTTTATTGGCATTATGTTGAATTGATTTGTTGCCTCGTTTGGTTCTTTCATAAAATTATTATCACACTTTGGAAATTCCCCCCTCCCCCATCTGATCCGATCCGACTGGCTGCGCCCTATATCGCTCTCCTTTCTTGGAGAATTATTAAGCTGATTTTAATTGCGCTCCATGCAGTTCCCTGCTTTGATCGGCAATCGTAAATCTAATTTAGTGTTCTCCCCAACAAAAAAAAAAAATTAAAAAAAAACCTAAAACTATTTCTATAAGAAAACAAAATTTAGATGTTTTCTAATTATGCAACGAATGAAGTGAGGGGGGAATGGAAATGTTTTTGTTTGTTGTTTCGGATCGGATTTGATTGAAATTTATTGCTAATGCATTGGACTCTGGTTTGTCGATCACTGATCGGTAATCTCTAGGGCGTTGTCTAGCTATTTTTCTCTCTCTCTCCCTCTGTTTACATAAATATACGCATCACGGCCCTGACTCGACTTTGGCTGCCAATTTTGGTCTTGGTCAGCGTGTTAAGCCGTTATAGATACTTTACAAAGCCATAACGATCGAGATGTAGCTATTTGATATTGATATTGTGTGTTTCTCCTGTGGTGAGTGTGTGCTTTCGGGGGGGTTCGATCGCTGGCTGAGATCATTTGTTAAATAAAAGTGAAAATTTGTTATTTGTTGCACGCGGTTTGTCGATGTTTTCACAGATATGAATCTTGATTTATATATAGCATTAGCTTATATAAGCATCGAATTTCAAATGAAATTATAGCAGTGCAAATAAATGCATTGGAAAAAGTTGTTACCTTCATTTGATTGATTGATTGATTGATTGATTGGTGACATTGTTCCACTTCTGTGCGTTAAATTAACTTCCATAATCCGCAAAGATAATTTAATAACTTTAAGCATCAGTTACCTATTTACACCTATATTTATGCTTAAATATCCTCCCTGCAGAAATTATATTTTATTCGTTTTATTGGCCATCCTTTCGACCGTGTATTTACCACATTATGATCATCCACAGAATCATCATTGTGTTGGCCCAAATTAGTCGCCAAGCTGCCAAAACGTTTAGTACCGAGCTCTCACCAGCGAGCCTCTCCCCGCCGCATTGTTCATTTGTCATGCAGGACTGACAGACGGAGGGGACAGTACCCGTTGACATACATTCGGGCTCTTTGTTTGTAAGCCCCAAACCCAAGCACAAGCACAAGCACAAGCCCAATCCCAAACCAACCTCATAATCATTTTCATTTTGGTGTGGGGAGGGGAAAAAAAGTGCCTTTTGCCGCATTGCGCAATAAAACAAAAGTCGCAAGGGAATTGAGGAGAATCCATCATTAATAAGCCCTAAAGTGGCTTCTGGCCGCTGGCCGCTGGCTGCTGGCCGATAGCCTCTCCAGGCGGGCAATAAAAACAATGGCCAAAATGGGCAATGAGCGAGCAAACCAGCAACGCACTTGTTGCTCCTCTTGTGGTTGTTGCAGCTTGCAAACGAGAGACAGCAGCAACAGCAGCAGCAGCAGCAGCAAAAAGCTGCAGCAACGGGAGGGACAAAAAGCCAAACCGCTTTAGGCCATTTAAGGCAACGCAATTAATTATTTTTTAACTGTTTTGTCATTTCGGAATGCAGGCAGCAGCCATCGTTGGCCATCGATTGGTCTTCGTCCTGCCGCCTGGGTTGACTGTGTCTTCCTGGCTCCCGGCCCGGCCCGGCCCGGCCCGGACGGACTGCCTTCCTGCTGTGGCTAAGGACTTTGACATGGCCGAAAGCGATGCAGCTTTCGCTCGTTTGATCGCTTGATCGGTTGATCGATTGATTGCTGCTGCCGCTGCTGCTGCTGCTGCTGTACCTGCAACCTGCTACGTGCAACGTTCAACCTGCAACCAGCAAAAAAAAAAATGAGCCGAGATTGTAAAACGCGTCTGTAACAAGCCGTTGCGTTAATTTGCCGCTACCGATTGGCTGCTACCGAACGACCGACGACAGCTGCTGCCAGTCACAAAAATAGAAAGTTTTTTTTTCTTCCTTTTTTTTTTTCTTGTATTTTCTTCGGAATTTGCTCGTATATAAAATATGCAAAAACATTTAATATATAACAAATTAAACAACAAAACTCTGTCCACAGACAGACAGATAGACACTTGTCGGGGTGGGGGGGGTCGCGGCCTGCTCGTGCGCGGCAATAAAAATAATAAAAAATTCATACATTTTTTGGAAACAACCTCGAACAAGTTGTTGGCCAGAGTCAGAGGCGTTGTGGCTGCTTGCTACTTCTGGCCGGGCTTATTTGCTTTGTCTGTTTTGATTATGGAAAGCATTCAGCTTTAATTTGTCAATTTCTTAATTGGCGTTTCGTACGTTCCACATCGCAATGCCAGCCATCTCTTTCTGGCTGCCGCTGGCTGTCTCTTTCGATCGTTGATTTCGATTTTCTGTCGCCTTTTTGTCCGTCTTTTCTTCACACACAGATACAGATACAGCTACAGATACATGTGTAGCTGTAGAGACCCCCGCACAGCTACAGATACAGATACAGATGCAGCGAACGCTGCTCAGTGATAGAAGAATTTTAACAAGCTACGGTGTTTTGGAATTTCGTACGTGAAGAATCCAAAAATGTTTTACGCAATTAAAGAATCTGATAAAATGTCTACAAGCGACGGCGGGCCGGCTGGGGCCCCCCACCCTTCCTCGGATCGCGATTCCAGTCCGGTTCTGGGCCACAACAAAAAAATGTGATCCCCGCCCGGTACACCCTTTTGGGGCCAACCTTCAACGCATATCGATCACTTGTCCGACGGTAAATATGACAAATTTCGAGGAACCACCAGCCAACAGCCAACAGCCATCAGGCAGCCGCGCCACAAAAAAAAAGGAGACAAAATCAGAGGCCGAATGCACATCAATATCGATGGGATGCGATGCGATGCGTTGTGATCGTGTCGTGTCCCAGTCTCCCTCTGTATCTGTATCTCAGTGTATCTCAGTCTCAGTGACTGTTTGTTGTGGCACAAACCAATTAAGCCGAGATTAATTGGCCATGTCAAGTGGCGTAATCGAGCGCGAACACAAGTTTGACATTTCATAATTATTTCAACTGCCAACTTGCCTGACTTTGACTCTCCCAATCTTGTCTGGTCTCATGATCGATCAATCTGTATCTCTGCAGCTCTCTCTCTGTCTCTCTGTCTCTGTGTATGCTTGGCTTATGATAGATACATTCACGTACATTCCGTAGATATGTATAATTGTTTGTTTTGATATGTTGATTTCTTGAGATAACCCCCCATGGGTCCTCCCATGGATCCCTTGGGGATTATTGATATTTTGTTGTAATTATGTTGTCAGGTCAGGTT